CCGGGTGCACAGCCTGCCATCGGTCAAGGTATGAGTGATCCATCGAGCCAGTACTTTTTGGTAGTCAAGGGCTTACAGGCGGTGGACGACTGTCAGTTAGGTACATCCGAGTCTTGTCGCAAGACTGCGGGTGGTAGCCTCCGGATCCTCCTTGACAGCTTCGAGAACGGTGGAGCCTTTCACTTCGTTGAGGCGTCCCGACCGAGGTTTTTCTTTGAGGATCGTATCTCCTTTCGCGAATTGAGCGAACCAAAAGTGAACGGTCCTGATGGTAGTGGTGTCCTCCGCCAATGCACTGTTGATGTCGCACACAGCCGCCGTGACTCCAGTGCCGCAGGGCCACCGGTAGAAGATGAGGACGCGAAGATGCTCCTGTGAAACTAAAATCGTAATTAGACCCAGGAAAGAGCAGGCGCCCTCTCACACCTCTTGCACGAAAGCTCTCAGAATGTTCTACAAGCATGGCATATTACCTCATGCTCAAGCATCGAGAATCAAAAATTGTAAGCTTTCTAAAGGAAACACTGACAGGACTTTCCTTCCAACCTATACTTCATGTCTCGATTACGCTTTAAGCTGTGAGGAACTTGGCGAAAGTCCGTGACAAGTCTTGCCCACTCTCGAATTATTCTCGCTCCCCGTAGTTGGCTCTAGGACAGGGTTGAGAGTCAAGGAGAAGCATGTTTAGTTGTGGAACTAGAAGAGAAATCTTATGCGCAATTTTGTTCACCATGTATTTAGGTGACTAATCCTCAGATGTATATTTATTGAACCGCAACCAACTCATTACGGTATCTTCACAAGTGGTTGCGGGAGTGAGAAAGGGAGCTGCCTCACTAGAGAAGGATGTCGGCGAGCTCCGAGTGCCATTTGCATCCATCAATTGCAGTACACTTTCGAAAAGCGCGGAACGAAAAGGAAAAGGTGCTCGCTCGCCCTGGTGGTTGGGTAATGGATTGATAAACTGAGTACCTACGAGGGTGAAGAAAGACCGTGGGAGATTTGTGTTCTAACTTTTGTAGTCACAAGTCTTCGAGTGTATGAGTGGTTGCGCCAAGTGTGAGATTTCCGAATAAATGCCAGATTCCATCCTTTCCCCTTCTGGGTACAAAGAGGAGCATTGACGTTTCACTTTTATGCAAGTTGTCACACTGTAGTAATTGTCACTGTGTGAAGCACTTAAAATTGCAGCCTTTACTGTAACGCGTGCAAAACATTCGGTGATAACGTTGGCGTGCAGGCACAACTTCTTCTCGATGGAAGTCCCATAAAATGTTCGGTACGTCGAAATGGTTACGACTTTCGTGCAAATACGCAAAACTCATCAAGGATTCCATCACGGGTGTAATGGATGCCAGTGATTGGTAATCGCTTGCAATTCACCAATCACAAGCATTATTCGCGCGTGTTGTGTATCTAACTTGATATTCATCGCATCCTTTGCAGGACGGGCTCACTAAAGGAACCTACAATAATCTAAAGTTGGCATTCTGTTTACCAAAACTGGAGGAGATTCTGCGTACTCAGGGACTCACCAAGGAGACATTCTTGCAACTAGTCAGAAGTGATGTAAGTGATGAATTATTAATTAAGTTGTACGATTTTGGTGCAAATTAGAGCAGCAAGAGCTCTGTCTCTGTTCCCAGAACTCTCATTTGGAGTTCCTACTCTACTCTCCGGCATTATAAGTGTTTGGTTATAACTAGAATAGAAACATTTGGATCTGGACAAATCGAACAAGGACTAGATATACCGATGGAGTTCTGAATGCTGCTTAGGTCTCGTTTATAGTTCGTGATGGCGCGCGTCGACGTTGACATGACTGTATACGCGTGTATTCGCACCAAGACCCAAGTTATACAAAGTAGCAAGGCTGATAAACCGTCGATAGGCTGCCTCGCCGGGCCCCTAACTACTCCCCAGTCCGTCGTTGGGGCGCTGCAGAGCAGACTAGACCATTACTGTTTCAAATTCGTCATCTGAAATCGTTTAGGATACTCAGTCGGTCAGATCAATGGGCATTTTTGCAACTGTATATATCTTCGACACGGACGTCAGCAAACAAATGCAGACGCAGGCTCGTATTGAGAGCGTCTACCGTAAGACCAAGAAGAGCTTCTTCAAGGTGAGCGCTTTTCGTCACATTTTACGCAAGTAAATCAACAACGCAACATTTGCTGTTAAGTCGACCAACCTGAAGAAGGTAAAGTTCTCGAAGCAAAATCACAAAATTCAAAGTAGTCATGCATCTCACAACTCTCCTTCCACCTTATTTTTAGTCCCTTTTCCTGACCCTCGCCCAAAAGGCGTATTCCGCAGTAACCGTATGGGCGCAGTCACTCGGGCGAAGCTCGTTATGAGGCCATTTCTTCTATACCGACAAAGGGAAGAATGAAAAAAAGGGAGAGCGCAATTACTCATTTTACTCCGCCCCAACCACCAGTGCGGAATTCGCCTTTGAAATTTCCTTGAAATACCTCACACACCGTTCTACATAATTTTTGGATTTTTTTTTGCTTTATTTGCTTTTTCATTCTTATCTGAAAATGGTGACTCTTGTGCTGATAGCCTACGAGGGTTCTCACAGATTTTTTTGACTGTTCAGATGTCAACAACTCCGTTACCCAAAATTTGTTGAGTTGGAATTATGCCTGAGAGTATGAACTCGAATCTCAAGTATTATTACGATCTTGGGTGGATGAGACGCGTACAATCTTGCGCTACAGATGCTGGGAAGTGTCAGGGCTCACGTTGGCGCGGGACCAGCCGTTTTTCTATATGCGGTGTAAGCAGGTGTTCGACCTTAACTGGTGGTGAAGAGATTGGCAAGGGACTAAACCCAACCCCCTGACACGCCCCAGTGCGAGCAATACTGCACAAAACCAACCTTTCATATCTGTAAAGAGAGCCTGGAAAGTATAAATAAACGTATAAAAGGGTATGCGCACACGAAAACCGTGGGTATTTAGTTCCTGCATTTTGCAAAAAGCCATAGCACATGTGTGGATGGGCAGAGAATTGCATACATACCTTGTGTCCATCCAAGGCACGGTTCCCTGTGTCCATCCAAAACACGGTCCCCAGAAGAATGACCAACTGCACATACATACACTCCTTATCCCCCGGACAGAGTAGGCGTGGCATTTGGACATGGCATAGAATGGGTTACTCGTGGGATATTTCAGTTTGAGACAACTGTCATCTTGTTCTGTGTTGGACAAAGACATGACCACAATTGTCTCAAAATGAAAATATCTCACCAAAAGCACAGTTACCACCACGTTCAGATGAAGTATGCAGCGATGCCCATCCTATTTCAAGGATCCCCAGTAAAAGCACGACTAGGGGGCGGTATTTGAGCCTTCGGGTAAAAGCGGTCAGTTGATTGTCCTCTTGTCACCTTACCGAGAGAGATCCTTGTTAACACAGAAGCGTGTTGCAGGGAGGTCTGAATGTTTAGACTCCTCGACGGCGCTCTTTATCGACGGGCGACGGAGGGGGCATTCTGCTTTTACAGATTCACCAACCCATCTAGGTACCTTTTTCGAGTTGACACGTTTTAGGATGGTGGCTAGACGATCTTGCTCCAGCACAAGCGTTCACAAGTTTTACCAGAGTGAGATTTGTAAACCGGAACCAGGGAAGCAATTATAATACAAAATGCCACCCGTCGATAAACTGGGCCTTCCTCAGGCAATACACTTCTAGGAAATCGTAGGTAAGAAATTACAAGGGTAGTAAGGAAGGTGAAAAGTTGAGCGGAGTAGACTTTTCTGGCGAGGGGCTCGTCCTGCACCAGTACTCTCCTTCGCACGTGACGTCTGCTAGTCCAAATAATCGGCGAATATTCCTTGGAATATCCTGCTTTCGAAAAAATAATTTTCCTGGTCAAATCAAAGGGAAACCAGTGAACAGGGTACAGCATGGGGATGTGCGAAATGTCGGTGTGAGTACGACCCCCCCCCCCTTCGAATGGGGTCCAGGCACGACCCCCCCCCCCCTCCACCTCCACGGCTTTTTCGCCGACGACGAGCAATGAGTATATAGTCGGCGAAAAAGTTGTCCCACGGGCGTACAGAATGCATATAGTGCATATAAAACAAAAATTAATACGACCCCCCCCCTTTAATCAACTATCAAAATAAATTTGTCTTACAAATACGACCCCCCCCCCCAGAGCAAAAGTACGACCCCCCATGGGTTTGACACAACGATGCTGTACCCTGGCAGTGGAACTCCTGAAGCGCGTTCCTTGGCCAAATCCCTAAGATGCTCCCAGTTGTGACGAACTTTATTCGAACGTGACAGTGGCTGCGCTTTTAGTGGAATATTTTCTGTTTATGATAACTGTAAGTAGGTCGTTGTCGAACACAAGGCAGCTGTATAAAATTGAAATATTTCACAAGTAACCCGTCCTGCGCCGTGTTCAAATGTAGCACGCCACGCCTATCGTGTCTAAAGGATGTGAAGTTCAAGGTTTTTCAAAAATTTGAATGAAGCTATCACACCAACGACCGCGTTCATTGTCCTTCGTCTTTGTTTGTGTTTATGTTATCGACGATTGCCGCACGTGCTATGGACGAAATATCATTTTCAGTTTAGGACACATGAACGGCATGTTGTAAGGGTTTATTTCTGGTTTGGCAACACTTTGCTTTGCCAAAGAATGACCTTGTCAGCAAGTGTCGTCGTTGTGCGTTTTAATACCCACTCACCATTGTGACATCACCGATTAAACCGGTTATTCCAAGCAGATTATAGTATCTAAATGCCAGTCTTAGTGCCTTCATGAATAGCACGTACTGGTCTGGAATGTAGGCATTGACCTGAAGACGCCGAATCGCAATTGAAAGAACATTTGGCGAACACATGAGAGTAAGAATGAAGAAGTATCTAAGATAAGTATAAGACTTAAAGGCCTTCCCGCGATCAAGTGATCAGCGAAATGCCTCCGTGCATTTGGCATCGTTTTCGCACTCGCCGAATATACCACTTTCGTCACTCGAAATGGCGAGATAACCGAAGTTAGAGACGCATGAATTTTGCAACCGGCGCAACCGCGTACTGTAACTCTGCCGGCTTACAAGCGGAACTGCGTGTGTACATAGCGTTGCCTGGAGCGTCGTAGGGTGATTTCCTGTGCTCTTGCCGGGAATTGGTTGCACGTCGAATCCTGCTGAGGGGTTGCCGACGTCCGACAACTTCGTCCAAGGCACCCAATATTAAGAGGGTCTACGATTAAGCACCTACTACCCGTAACACTTGGTCGCGGATATTGTCTTTAAAGCCTCGTCTGGGACAGGTAGTGATGATCAGATAGGCGGTTCATAGAATATTCGCTTCAGAATGTAGGATATTGCCTTTAAAGACACTTTCCGCGATCAAGTGACCCGCAAAATAACATTAGGGCCCGCACGCCTGGAGAGTGTACCACTTCCGCCACTTAAAAGGGCAAGACAAGGAGGTCACAGACGCGTGAGTATTGGCCCCCTATTCTTTTCATTCTGCAAGAAGACTGCTTACACGGGGAATCACGTGTGTGCATTGTGTTGCTTGAAACGTCGTAGGGCGATTTTTTATGCTCGCTGATGGAAATCCTAGCTCGTTGGTGTCTTTGTGCCCTTTAGCTGCTCCCATTCTGCCTCTTACTCGGACCTTCCAAGATAGGTGGAAGTGAGCTGGACGTCTGCTATGGTAACTGGATCAACTTGAGTTGCATCTTCGGCTCGCTTCTTACAACTAGTTAACACATTGAGTTCCATAAGCTGCACTATGCACAGCGCCGCCATAACGGGAAAAATTATTTCGCTTGATTTATGGACCCCCTCCCCTTGTGCAAAAGAACAAGGCGCTCTTCGATAAGATGTTGAACGACAATGTTCCAAAGGCTATAATTATGGCGTGGATAAAGGTGTGAAACACCGGGAACTTATCAATCTTAGGTTGGGGTGAGCCACGCAACTGACTTCCATTCAGAATTCTGGTGGCATTGGAAATGTACGCCTGCCCTACATGATGAAGTATTAGGATTTGCAGATATGAAAGCCAATGTCTTCCTCCTTACGGAATTAATCTAATTACTCACCATATTCAGTACTTGTTACGCGACAACCTGAACTTTCTCGCATAGTCTTGCTGTAAGACTCTGTCACGAAAAGATAGAGGACAACGGCGGCTACAGCATCGAAAGGTGGCAGAGAAAGTATCGTGAATCGTACCTGAAAAACCTTGAAAACTACCCTGAAAAAGTACTCTAAAAATACAGCCGCTGGGTCATAGTGGTCACAAAGGCTAACAATAAGTAGACGAGAGAGCGCGCAGGGAGGGAGATGGTGAAGAGGGAATCGATGAGATCGAGTTCATGTGTACGTAGCAGGGCACATCATGGTTATGGACAATTTTTGCTGGATATGAGCGCACCCCCACCCCCCTCCCTGCGCTCCTCCCAATTTTCTCCTCCGCTGGGACCCGTTCTTCTAAATAACATACCTGACATGCTCCCAAATTTTCCCAAAGTTTTGATGCAGAGCGGGTTCGCAGCGCGCGAAACGATAAAAATCAAAAATCTCGAGAGTGTTTATCAGGGCATCTTCGATTTTTCTTCAATTGAATCCTTCATCACCCGGCATTACAATTATGACCCCCGCCGTAATTTTTACACCAATAGTGGTAACGGTGTGCTCCTATGTAATACAACAATGCCAAAGAGCTGCATCCTCTGTCGATCAATTACTTACAAAATAGAGCCTTGCTTCCCCATTGCAGTGGAACCTTTCCATGGACGCTGAATTTATGGAGTCTCTGGAAGCTAGTAATCAATTCGTCAATAGCAACTGGTTCTAATGGACGCTTTTTTGACATCACTCTCAGAGAACCCGTTCTAAGGAAACGGCAGCATCGTTTTTAATTTTCACCCCTACAAGAGTTCTTGATGAATTACGAGCCGCTAAGGATTGGTCTTTGACTTTATTAGACACCAAGTGTTGTTGCTCGATCTGTACTCTATATACTAGTTACATTTCGGTACTGTATACTCGGTAAGTGAAGCCTAGTTATATGTCCTACTTTCAGGGGTATAGGGCGCATTCATTAGTATTTGCAAGGTCGCAGAGACGTACAGTTCATATAGCCGCAACAGTAGGGGCCGTTTCAAGACTG